CCCCCCCCCCCCCCCCCCTTTAATTTATTCATTTTTTTAATTTGATTTAACCTTTATTTTAACCAGAAAAGACTCTGACCAAAATGAGCAGCAATACAATCAGTTTCATCACAGATTTACACAAACAAACTAAAAACACTTAAAACAATTATTGCATTTAACTCTCTTTATACACTACTTCCAGACATTGGTGTCTTTTGCAATATTGCTGGTACTGCTGATTTATAAAAGCAATAACCCTCCCAACACACTGTACTCTTAAAAGATCCTTTCCCACAACTATATTAAAAAACATTATTTGGTTAAAAATGTCAAATATTACTCTCATCTGTCATTTGGCTGACTGCAAAAACAGCAATACCGTCCCTGTACATTTTGAGATTGCTTTTCATTGATGTCCTTTTAATGCATTTCAGGAGAGAGTAAATCTTGTGTTTGTTCCAATACGTGAGCAGATGGTGTCTGGAGATTGTGAAGCATGGATCGCCGCTTACTGCACAGACTCAATCTCTCCGCTCTCTTGCCTTTAGATGTATCCTGAGCTGCAAATCACAAATGTGGTGGAAGCCAACCAGCCAGTCAAGATCGAGAACTGGTGCAAGAAGGACAAGAAACAGTGCAAGGGCCACGCTCACATTGTGATCCCCTACAAGTGCTTGGGTGAGTGGTGTGTGATTGACAGCTCTGTTGTCCTTTTAAACGGCCAATTATCCAGAATGTCCCGTGGGGTTAAAGACACCATTGTTGAAGTGAGACATCTGAGAAGCCAGAGCAGCAGTTCAAAGTGACAGGCGAAGACGTTAAAGATCTCTATACTGGAGCTCATGAGGGTTGTGACGGTGAGGAAATTTTCCCACCGGTTAATCGACGTGGGGGCAGGGGCGTTTCCTCTTTTCCTCGCTTTCCTACGCTTTAAAATAGTTTGCTAAAGTGGCGTGTGCATTTTACTTTCACTTTCAAATAGCGGCAATTCGGCGTAAAGCAATTGTTCGTTTTTAGTTCGTTTGAATTTTCCCTCTTTTCCTCGCTTTCCTTCGCTTTTAAATAGCTTAAGCACCGTGCGCATTTTACTTTCACTTTTGAATTAGCGGCAATTCGGCTTCAATTGCTTGAATGCAACAACAAAATACAACGTCAAGCTCACTTTAGCCTATATATAAAACATAGAACTTTTATTAACAAAACGAATAAAAATACACCATGCTATAGGGCAGGCTATGCCTAATATAAAATAACAAATAACTTGCATAGTTTAAATAGGTATACAAAACTGGAAATAAGTAAACATGTATAATATATAACCAAATAAATAAGAAACGTAGAATGTTTATTAGCAAAACGAATAAGAAAGCTTGGAGGCACGGCATACACCTTGATGTCAAATAAAATAAATAAATTACACAAAGTTTAAATAAAGTAAAAATCAGCAAACACTGTGGAACCAATTAAATAAACAAATGTTTAAAAAACTTCCAAAATCACCTTAGATAAACGGCAAAAGTCAATAGGCTTTTCAAAATCCAAAATATTGCCAAACAGTCGCTTTTGCATTTCGTTTCGAAACTAAATCATCTGCGATCGTCTTGTCTGTCTCACCCCACTCTTCTTGTCAGTCAGCTCGACTCACTCTCCTCACGTAATAAATAAAATCTGACTCCTGCTCCGTGGAGCACTGTCGTTCGCACACGGTTCGGCACGGAGCATTGAGCGTTTAGTTTTTAAAAGTGTCTGTCCTCTAACTGAACAAGGCTAAATGATTTTTGTTACTATAAAAAAATCAAAAAGACAAAAAAATCAAATGGCGGTGCCACGGTAGGCAAATGACGTAACCGGTGTTGCGGCTTAACACCGGTATAACCTAAAACACCGTCTATCGCGGCAAATGGGTTAAAATGAGATCCCATTTATCTCCAAAACGGTGCCAGTTTTAGCGTTTTGCAATAAAGAAATAAAAATAACTAAACTTGATAATTTATGTTACAATTTTAACATAAATGCACATTGTTCTAGAAGTATGGCAAATTCATGCCATACCTTTTACACGTTTACTCGAATTGTTATGCTGATAATACAATTTGTAAGGAAAAATGCATTAAATAGCGAGGTATTTCTGGGGAAACTTTTTATTACATCACGCGCTGGCACAGATGCAGTATATTAACGCCACGGGTCATCAATAAGATTCAGATTTGGTCCTCAATTTTTGTTTCCAACACACTTTTTCACAGCGCGCATCATGCGCTCAAACTCATCAAAAGTCAACAAGTTCAACAAGCAACAACGACTTATCCAAGTGACTTAACCAAGTGCAGAACGCACGCGAGAGAGAGACGAGGCAGCGTAGGTCGCGCATCTCATAAGTGAGTGGGAATTTACCAAACGTGACACTTGCGTGAGTTATCACTGTATGCAATACCCGCAACCTCACACCAAATTTCAGGCCGTGTAGATAGGCAAGCATATATACAAATCATTTAG